CATGCTTGAGGATTCATTATGTATGGTAGGTGTTTGATAAAATGCCACAATGGAGTAATAGTGCCTATATTTTTGTTTATTGATTTGTTCTGTTTTTGTGTCTCTCTCTCTCCTTTTGTGTGTGTGTGTGTGTGTGTGTGTTGAGAAAATTGTTGCCTATGAATTTAATGCACAGTTTGTAATTTTTGTTGCCTTGATTATGAATTTTGATATAATTCTGTTCGTATTTGTAATTTATAAATAATCTCTTATCTCTTGATAAAAAAAAGATCAATGAGTAACCAATCACTTTTCCATATACTAGTTATTGCCTGAAATGCTTAAGGTTATAATTGCCCAGGTTGTATAAAATATTGTTTAATATTAGTTTCAAAATTTAACGAGTACAAAAATGTACTTAAGCTTCTTTCGTTTATTTTTCAAATCAATCTCAAACAAGTTTTAATCACCCCAAGTTCGAATAGTTTAATTTTTTGAATAATTTTCTGACACAAACTTATCGAATGAAGCCTAAAAAATTAACAAATTTCTGAATATATTGCTTACATAACGATGAAATCTCAATTGAATTTTTAACAAACTAAATAGCCATTAGTTTACAGCGCTAGAAATGAACTACTGCAATTGAGCAACAGAACACTAATAATGAAACATGAAAATATAAAATGTGAGAAGAAATACAGATACCTTAACCCAGTAAAAGGTTTCTAGAAATAAAGAAAACAGAGATACTGTTTTGAGCTACTGCATTCTTGCCATTTCAAACTGATCAACAAAAAGCCAAAAGGCAATAATGATGACAAATTTTTTTTGTGTCTCACTAAAAGTAGACATCCAAATGCATATCCATATTGGTAAGGATGTTATGTAATGTAGCATTCCATGCAAGAAGATTCGAATACCTATTGAAGGCAATTCATTGGCAGTGAACTACGAATTACGATAACAAAAAAATGTAAATGAAATTACATGAAGAGAACTACCAGTCCAAACCTATAGCATGAATGGTCTAATTTATCTTATGCTGTTTCCCTGGAGGAATTGTAATAAGCATTTCAAGAAGAGATCGATAGTACATGGACAATTTGCAATGCAAATAATCTTTTGACTAATACCATACAAAATATGTTCATCATCAACATGCATATGTCAAAGAACATAAGGCTTAACACCAATCATGATTTGTGAACATATCTAATACTATCCAGCAAAATTACAATAACAAATGAATCCATGTACATACTTTGTTTGTGATGTTTGAAAGCTCAACACTAATCATCCTGCATTCTTCATCACAACAAGGCTTCAGTTCTTCCGACAAACTGCATGAAAGGTAAGAGAAAAAAGTAACAGATAAATTAAACTAAAACAACAGACAAAAACCAATCTTAAACCCATTAGGCCATTACCACTTGTCAAACTAGTCTCTAAAAAGCGAAATTTATTTTTACCTTTTATTTTTTGTACCAGTTTGCTTATGTAAATTGGAAGGTAGATTAGTATATGATCTTCTATCTGTAAGATGAAAAAGATTTAGAAACAACTATGGAAGGTTGTACCTTTGGTTGTCCTTTGGTCCATATGGAAGCATAGAAACGACTGTGTGTTTAATAGGTCGCAGCCAAATTTTGAAGATCTATGTGAGCTGGTCAAAGTAAGAATAGCTTTGTGGGTCAAATCTTCCCCAGCCAAAGTGGACTTCTCTGTTAATGATATAGTCTTTAACTTGCAGCAGGTCTAATATTGTATTAGACATAGGAGTTGAGTCTTGGCCCTGGTTTGCTGTGCTGCTTTGGTCTCAGCTTGTTCTGTTGATGCTTGAGCCTAGCCTACGGTGGGTTCTGCTACGTGTGTATCTGTTCGTCAGCTTGGGCTTGTTGCTGGTCTTGTAGGTTCAGGTTTAGATTCTGTCCTGTTGGACTGTCAGACTCAGTGGTGGACTGATATGACTAGGTGTTGGGGTTTTATTAGTGTGTGCAGATACTATGAGGGTGCCCCTGTAGATACTATGGTCAGAACTCAGTATAGTTTAGAGTGGCTCAGTTTATTTTGTGATCTCTGTGAGGCATGATGCTTGGACTGCTCATTGTTTTGAGAATGAATTATCAACAATGGGAATTTTCAAACTTATCATTGTTTTGATTCTGAAAACATGAAAGAGAGGCAGTCCTTTTCAACTCTGTGTAATGTAATTGTTACATGTACAAAGAAATAATAAAATTGCAGAATCTAGTCCAGAAAAGAGTTTCTTGATGAGAGTCCTATTAGAGCTAAAGGAGCATATGAAACGATCTTTTTCAGAATTTATATTTCATACCCATGGTCTAGTAAAACTATTATGTTATCATGGCAATACAGAAACTGAGACATTCTTCCCAGACCACAAGTCACCGGGAAGTTTGGTTCAGTTCAATGATAGGGATGGCTTTAGCAGGATGCATCTATTGTCTCTCTAAAAGATCACTCTAGATTCTATTTAATTTGCTAAATAGGTAAGAATTTAGTGGAAATGGTTACTTTCATAAAGCTATCTTAGGCAAGAATTCTCTAGATGCTATTGTCTCACAAAGTTATTTTTATATTTTACAAGAAATGAAAACATGAACTAGAATAAAAGAATAGCAAAATACAGATTGGAGGAAAACAAAAGAAGAATAAAACACAACAGGGACACAAACAATGATACCACAGCTTAACTTGCAATAAAGACAAACATCTAGATGAATCTCACTGAGGATGCACTCCCCCCTCTTAGCAAGAAAATAATTGCAGAGCTACTGCTAACATCAGCATTTACATTAGCCAACACAATATAATTGAGTCCAGAACACTGAGATAGAACAACAATTTAGAATAAATATGGTTGTCACAAGGGTCTTTCCACTCTTAACGGTAACAAAAGACAAGTTGCAAGTCAGTTAGAGTCCCACTCTTAACGGTAACAATTGACCCTTGGTGTCACAAGGGTCTTTCCAGGTTCAGTTTGAACAATTTAGAATAAATATGAATGAAATCACTGACTATATGATCAACAGCAACATGACATGGACTAAGATAATCATGTAAATTGATTGCATACATCTTGAAAATCATACTTCTCAAAATCTCAAAACCCAAGAGAATGACATTGACAGGCTAAGCAGTTTAAACATTCTAATTCTCTCTGCTTCTAACTTAGTTGGAGTTTAGTTTTTATGGAACAGGACTTGTTACAAATGGGTACTTCTCTCGATAAATATGTCCACCTACTAAAATAAGTCAAAACAATTCCCCTAATATCTTGCTTCTATTCCTTCATTACTCATCTTGGGTACAACAAGTCATACAGATATGCTTGGACTGCTCATCAGTGGAATGTTATGTTGATTTGCTTTGATTTGTAATACAAGGCCTTCAGCTTTATTTTTCTCCAAGTTCAAGATCTATCCTGGCTACTGTACATTAGGTTCTATTTTATTAGGCTCTTGTACATTAGGTTTGCTCTGTTGTTAACTAATAGGTTGCTGGCTCTGTGGGGTTGTTGGTTCAGGTTCTAGTTTGTTGATTGGCCTACCATACTGATATGCTTGGACTGCCATACAGATATACAGATATGCTTGCGCTTCCATACATTACTCTGCTGCTATTACTTTGTTGCTGCTATTACTCTTCTGCTATTAATTTGCCTTTTGCTACTTTTTCTTTTGATTGGTTTCTCACCAATCTTTGGTTTATGGTTGCATATGATTGTGCTCCCTTTGTGGTGCCAACCTAGTTGGGATCGTAGAGGTTAGTTATGATGCTTTTGCATTCCCCCAGCTTTGTTGATGTAATTATCGCATGTATTGTGCCTTTAGTCATCAATAAAACTTTTGTTTTGCCGATCAAAAATATGATCTTCCATTTGAGAAAATCTGTTTTCCATCCTGTGGCAAGAGTTATTCAAGAAATACAATTACCAATTTTCAATGTAAAAATTATTCAAAAGTAGAGAAACAATAGACGCTGAAGGAAAATACTACTTTTGTGTCATCCCCCATCCACCCAGGAATGCTCCTTGACAAAAGGGTTATATATTGCTCCGCAGCCACCTCTCGGTTCATGTCCCCAAGCTGTTGCCAAGCATTCCTAAGACAACATAACTAGTTTGCCTTATTAATTACACAACGAAGCTACAAATCTTATTATCAAAACTAACAGCCAATTACACACCAGAATATAATTAACGAATAAGGATGAGCACTAATGTAGTGTACAAGTAAAGTCCATTTGCTTTATACCTACCTTAACTTATGTTATGAGTTTCGTAATTGGGAGAGGTTAGTATGAGAAAAGGCAAGTGAACAGGATGAACCCTAACAAAGTGTTGTGTATATATGTTGCAATGTTGTGAATTGTGCAGAGGGTTTAGAACCACTTCCATGGGAGACAAGACTTAGGGGTTGTTTGGGAAATGCTAGATTAGTATAATTTTTGACTTTTCATGAAAAAATATGAAATATGGGTTGGGTTTGAAGTGATGTGGTAGAGAGGTGATGTGACTCAAATAAGAAGTGATGTGACCCAAGTAAGATGATTGTGACTCAAATAAGATAACGTGCTAAAATATAAAACTGTTTACTCTAGTTGGAAAGCATGTCATTGAATTTTATGAACAAAAAGTACAAAAACACAGTAAATCAAAAACCCTGAACTCATAGAAAAAAAGTTTTGTTTACTCATTAGATGAGAACTGTGAAAACAAAAACAAAAACAAAAACAAAAAACATAAAAAAAAAAAACTTAGATCAACTAATCCTATAAATTTGCAGATATTGATTTCAAATGAATCTGAAACATATCAATATAAAATAGTTCAATTTTAGGAAAGTATATACAGGAAAAGTCATATACAAATAATTCAATTATGTGTACCTACACTAAATTGTGTAATGCTTTTTTATGTTAGTATGGATAACTCTTTATATAATATATTTAACTTTTTATTTTGTTTCATGGTATTTCAATTTAGTTAATTATCAATGGATAAGAGTTGGATGAAGAAGAGTAGATTGTCAAGAGATTATATGCAAAGGATTAAAGAATTTTTGGAGTTTGCTTCTCACAATGTATCTAATGATGGAACAATTCCATGTCCATGTATGAGATGTGTGAATTCATACATGTTGACCCTAAAAGTTGTACATGATCACTTGGTATCCTATGGAATTAGTCCGGGTTATAATTGTTGGTATCATCACGGGGAAATTATGTCTGCAACGACTTCAAGTAAAACTAGTCAAAGCCATGTTGAAGAAATAGGACCCGAGTATGGTGATATACGTGACATGTTGCGGGACGTGTTTCCCATGCACACCCAAAATATGGATGAATATACAGAAGAAAGTAATTTACCAGAACCATCTGATCAAGGTCCAAGCGTGCAATGACCTCAAAAAGATCCTAATGAAGATGCACAAAAATTTTATGACTTACTGAAAGATGCTGAAAAGCCTTTGCATGAAGGGTGCAAGAATTTTAACAAGTTGTCAGTAATTGTGCATCTGTATCACTTGAAATGTCTTAATGGATGGAGCAACCACTCATTCACAATGTTGCTTCAAATTTTGAAAGATATGCTTCCTTCAGATGCAAATTTGCCGAAAGCCTCTTATGATGCCAAGAAGATTATTAAGGATTTGGGTCTTGGTTATGAAAAGATTCATGCTTGTCCTAATGATTGTATGTTATCTTGGAAGGAATATGCAAATGATGAAGTGTGTCATTGTGGTGCTTCAAGGTGGGTAACAAATGAGAATGATTTGCAGCAAAATATGAGTACTTCATCTAAAAAGAGAAAGAAAAAGGCTGCAAAGGTTTTACGGTGGTTTCCCTTGAAACCTCGATTACAGAGGTTGTTCATGTCTTCAAAAACAGCTGCTTCTATGAAATGGAATGCTGAAGGCCGTACAAATGATGGCATAATAAGGCATCCTGCCGATTCTATGGCTTGGAAAACATTCGACTCTCGATATGTAGATTTTTCCTTTGACTCTCGCAATGTCAGGTTGCGGTTGGCAGCAGTTGGATTTAACCCTTATGGGAATATGAGTACTAGTTATAGTATATGGCCAATCATATTGGTCCCATATAATTTGCCTCCATGGATGTGCATGAAAAGGTCTTCTTTCATCCTATCATTGCTTATTCCTGGTCCGAGCTCCCCTTCGAATGACATAGATGTGTACATGCAGCCTTTAGTTGAAGAATTGAAGGAATTATGGGATGTTGGAGTACAAACTTATGATATATCTTCCAAAGAGAACTTCCAAATACATGCAGCTCTAATGTGGACTATAAATGACTTTCCCGCATATGGTGATTTGTCTGGTTGGAATACCAAGGGTGCTCTTGCATGTCCTTCTTGTAATTATGAGACTCATTCTCGATGGTTAAAACATGGAGGAAAATATTGTTTTATGGGTCATAGGCATTTCTTGGATAAAGATCATAGATTTCGTAAAGATAGAGCATCATTTGATGGTAAACAAGAAATAGAACCAGCTCTCGATATGCTATCTGGCTTTGAGATCATGATGCAAATAGAAGACCTTGATTACAAATTTGGGAAGACAAAGGCAAATGAAAAAAACAAAAAAAGAAAGAAACAAGCGGATGGTGATGAGATACAACCATGGAAGAAAAGAAGTATATTTTTTACATTGTCGTATTGGGCAAATCAAAAATTGCGTCACAATCTTGATGTGATGCATATAGAGAAAAATGTGATTGATAATGTATATGGAACATTGTTGAATTTAGATGGGAAGACAAAGGATAACTTGAAGGCACGTCTTGACTTACAAGAGATGGGTATAAGACGTGAACTTCACCCACAAAAGATCAGTTCCAATAAGACATATTTGCCTCCAGCTTGCTTCTCAATGATTTTAAAAGAGAAAGATGACTTCTTGAAAGTTTTGAAAGGGGTAAAAGTCCCAGATGGTTATGCTTCAAATATTTCACGTTGTATCCAACTTCGACAATGTAAGATTATAGGTTTGAAGAGTCATGATGGTCATATTTTGATGCAGCAACTTTTTCCTATCGCATTACGAGGAGCATTACCAAAACAAGTCGCTTCACCTCTAATTGAGTTATCTTGTTTCTTTAGGGAAATATGTTCCAAAGTCTTGCAAGTGGAAGAGCTTGACCGACTTGCATCTCGAATTGTATTGACTTTATGCAATTTGGAGAGAATCTTCCCTCCATCATTTTTTACTGTTATGGTGCATTTAGTCGTCCATTTGGCCATTGAGGCTAAAATTGCTGGCCCAGTTCACTATAGATGGATGTATCCCATTGAGAGGTTAGGCGTGACAACTTGTATCTATTTGTGTTTTTAACCTACATCACATTGACATCTCAATCTAGTCGATCTATAATTATATTATTTTTCATGTAGGTATCTCCAACGACTAAAATCTTATGTTCGTAACAAAGCTCATCCAGAGGGCTCTATTGCAGAAGGATACATAGCTGAAGAGTGCTTCATATTTTGTTCGTGATATTTGGAATCTGTTGAAACCATATTCAATCAACCCTTAAGAAATGTTGAAGATTCTACAGGGGCAATAATGAATATCGAACTTGATCAAAAGTCATGGATACAAGCACATCGTTATGTGCTATTTAACAATGATCAAATTCAACCATATCAGATATAAGAAATATTTATGAGTTATGATGTATAAATAATTTTGAGTTTCCCATTTTAATACTTGCAATAGTAACACAAGTTAGGTTTGTATATACAGAGAACACAAGGAGCATATAAAGAGACAAAGTCGTCCGTGTCGTCTAACTGATGAAGTTCTTAATAAGATGCATATGGAAAAGTTTTGTGAGTGGTTTAAATCATATGTAAGTATGTAGCTATTAAATAATACTATTACCATATACAATTTTTAGCGTAGAGATTAATGTAATCATTTTAATGGGTCCTATAATATATCAGGTTGTAGCTATGGATGACACAAGAAAGCAACAACTTACTGATGAAATCAAGTGGCTTGCTCAAGGCCTAAACACTCTAGCTAGACGATTCAAACGATATGTTGTTAATGGTTTTAAGTTCCAAATTAAAAATTATGAGGCAGCGAAGAAAACTCAGAATAGTGGGGTTTGTGTGGCCACCAAAGGAGGCACCATGTATTATGGTCTTTTATTTGATATCATTGAGCTCAATTATTTTGACAAGTTGAAATATGTATTATTCAAATGCAATTGGGCTGATGTGAACACAGGCAAAGGCAACAAGATAGATGAATATGGGTTTAACCTTGTAAATTTTTCGCATTTGATACATACTAGAGAACAGTTAAATGATGAACCATTTGTATTGTCATATGAAGCTTCACATGTTTATTATGTGGGAGATGTAAGGAATGAAAATTGGTTGGTTATTGTTAAAACAAAAGTGAGGGATGTGTTTGATGTTGGTACTAGTGAATTGTGTGATGGTGATGTTGACACTTACTATGATAACGAGCCGTACAATATGATAGTTGAAGACACTCATGTAGATGCGAATGAAAACCTCAATTGGGCTAGAAATGATACAGATGTAACGACAATCAATATACCACTTCCACTTGATAACCAACTGATCAATGAAGATGATTTAGATGAGGATGTCTAGTTGTTGAGTTCAACTAGTTTGATTTTAATTTTTTTATTCTCATGTTAATCTTTGAAACATTATTTGGTTTTGAATATAAATTTCAAATTTTTTAGTTTCATATATGTATGGCAACCCATGTCTTGCATTTTTTTTTTAAAATCACATACCCCTTGTGGATGTAAGCGTAAGCCAAACTAGGTAAATTATCTGTTTTCTTCTTTATGATTGTGTTTGCATCAATTTGCTACTTTGTATCCGATCTCAAATTTGTGTGGGTTTGTCAGGACACTTGTCTAGTTGCCATTGAAGTATATTCTATGGATTATTAATGAGGACATCTATATTTCTTCTAATAGATAACTGATGGTTTTTTTATATTATTTTAATGTTTGTTGTTAAATATAGCTATTAAAAACTTGGACTGGAAAATCAGCATCTTGACAATATTGTTTTTATGCTCTCTCTGGTTTTAACTTTTAGTTTGTGAATGTAGGTATATCATATCTTGAGAAGAAAGAAGTCCGCACCCGTCTAACAGAGGTGAGTATAGTCATGTATGTCCGCACCTATCTGAATGTAGTAGTATTATTGTGTCATGTTATGCTATTGTATTAGGAAGGGGAGCTAAGTCTAGCCCTGTTTTGCTAATTTCATTGGAATGTAGCCAATTGGCTGTGGGTGATCTGATGTGTTTTGTGATTTATGGTGTGTAATTTGTCTGCTGATGGCTGTGCGTGATCTGTTATGGAGGTTGCTCTTTTTTTTATGCTTGCTTTTGTCAATGCTTGTGTGATTGGTGGCTGATTTTGTTGCTGTTGTTTGTTGGGGCAGTGATCTGTGGAGCTTTAGGATGTACAATTGAATCAAATTATTAAGCTTTTATTTTGTTAAGAGTGGTAATATATCACAATTCAATCATTATTTGTGAACAGTGTTGTGGTAATATAAAATAATTACTTGGAAAGGCCTCAAGTACATTTAGTACTATGTCATTCTTTCAGATTTAGGTTCACAGTGTTTATTTAATTCTGGTAATGGCAAAATATTCTGGATAGATTTCCACTCTATATAATGGATGTTTCACGATTCAATTATTATATATATATATATATATATATATATTATTTATTTATTTTGCATAGGGCTTTGATGACACACTATCAACCACTTTCCTTTTATCAAAAGTTTGCAATATGTCATTGGCATGTGTCATTTTCTGTTAATCTGCCAATGTGTTATTTATTCTTTCTAATGAATTGGTGGATGTGCTGACAATTAGTAGCATTGGAATACCATCCTCTCCGCTTTTATCAGCACGAGCTACCTATAAAGTTCCAAATTTCTGTTAAAGACTCAAAAGTGATATTATTCTGAACCAGTTAATCATGCTGTAGCATAGTGTAGGCAATATTGAGAGGATTACTTACCATAATCATCACACTTTCATGGAACAACTTCTTAGAAACGAACACCCAAAATATGTCATAGAAGAAGGCACAACCGAGAAGAACAGTACCCACCTAATTTGCAAAATACACAGAACCGTGCCAAAGAAAACATTAAGTGAGAAGCGCTTTTGGTTTTGAAAACTGTTTAGACCACAGTGCACTGCTGACACAATTTTTATTTCAGCAATGAAACTTGGTTTTAACATTTAACTACTAAACTGTATGATAAATGCTCATTTAATTTGATTAATATCTTTATGTTTGATTAATTACGTCTATTGTTTATCTAGCAGATATGGCAAAGAAATGATTTAGAACTTGCAATCTTGAGAATGAGTCCCAGAACAAGCGATCAAATGGCTCTTCACAACCTAGCCAGTCAAATAACTCTTCACAGCCTAGCCAGCCAAATAACCTTTCACAGCTGAATACACCAAGTGGAACTTCACAACCTAGTCACTCAATTGGCTCTCCACAGCTGGACAGGCCAAATAGAACTTCACAACCTAGTCGTTCAAATGCCTCTTCACAGCCTAGTTGATCAAATGGCCCTTCACAACCTAGTTGGTCACATCCCTCCTCACATGCTCCATCACATGTTCCACACCCTCAACCTCAAGAATCAGAGCTTAACCCTCAGTTTGAAGATGATTTAGATGAGGAGTGGTTAAGGGAAGAAGAAATGCAACGTACAGGTATTATTAGATTTTTAGTTGAGGTACAAATTACAAGTCAACCTTCACTTCCATGATATATTTCGTTGTTGTGTTGCAATAGATGCATTGACCAAGCGAAACACACGGGGAATTACACGTATGGTTGAAGTGTGGAATTTGACTCCAGAAGAACGCATTATGCTCACCTTTAACAAGGATTTGCAGGCTATTTCTACAGAGGGTGGTATGTTCAGTCGCTTCATAGGCACCATTGCTAGGAAGCCACACTTATGCCCAATTAAGTACAAGAATTGGCATGAAGTGTCAGATCAGTATAAAGAAGATTGTTAGAATATTATTGAGGTAATTTTCTAACTACAAGTATTTTGTGATAATTCTACTATAAGAGAGATCATATGCATGTGAAAAAGACAATCTTCCATGCTAATATAGTTGAAGTAAAAATAAAAATATGAGAATTAGGCAAAGAAATGCGCAAATTTAGTTTATATCATTGTATTGATAATTTTAAGAATGTTCATAACATGAAAAAGCATACAATTGTAGTCCAAGCTTGCCATTCCTCAAGATGAGAGAAGGGATATGATTCGACATCGAACATTGAAGTCAATGGGAGAGAAATGGAGAAATTGGAAATGTAGTTTAAAAGCAAAGTACTATGATGAGACAAAGACAGCATCACAGATAGTAGCTACTGCGCCTTTAACAGTTAACCGTGACCACTATGCTGACCTTGTCGCATATTGGTTTTCAAAGAAAGGACAGGTATGCATAGATGTATGTTTTATATCAAATAATACAATGTCATTATATCATTTTTTTAAAACATATTGTTATGCATTTATGACTGAAGGAACTTAGTACAACCAATAAGGAAAGCCGGTGAGAGCAAACACATGCACATACAGCAGGATCTAAAACTTATCCACAACATGCATATGATATGGTATTTCGAACTTCATTCCTTGTTTTATATTTTGAATTTGGTTAGCACATTGTATTATAAATTCATTTTGAAACGATATGATTGTTACATAGGAGCAAAAAGATAAGATTGCACTAGATCGAGCAAAATTATATATACCGCTTCACAAAAGGAAGGATGGGACACCAGTCAATGAAGCAGCAGCTGCAAAAATTGTATGCCCATTTAATAAGTTACATTTTCAAAATTCTAATGTGTTTGTGGCAAACAATCACTTTGTCTTCTTATTCCCCCCCCCCAATTTATCTATAGGAAAAACTAGAAGCTTTGATGAGCTCACAACCAAGTAGCTCTGAAGGAAATGTTAGTGGCCGTATATCTTGGTCACCAAATGATATTTATTCTCAAGTGATGGGTAAAGAGCATCATGGTCGTGTTCGAGGTTTAGGATTTGGGCCTACTCCTTCCAAGCATGGCTTCATGTGTAATAGTTTTGACCACTTAAGAATGGTTTCTGATGAAGAGAGAATAAGAGACAAAGACACTATAATTGAGTTGAAGGAACAACTAAAAACTCAAGGTGATCAGTTGCAAACTCAAGGTATTCAATTGCAAGCTCAAGATGCTGTAATAAACTCTTTAAAAGAGCAAGTACCATTTTTGATGAGTCAGAGACATAGTTCTAGTGGTTTGCAGGTATAACTACATATAACATATTCTTTTATATGATGTATTTATCATATGTTATCCTTTTCTAAATTTATGCATACTTGTGTAAATTGTATTGTATAAATTAGGTGACAGATGGATCTAGTGGCATTCCGGACCAAGCTTCTCTACAAACATATCAAAGATCCTCTTTTGGGAGTCATGAAATGCAACCTTCTAATCGGGGTAAGTCATCATTATAATACACATACATTGACCCAAATTTAGAAGCACTATTAATGACTTCTTTACCAATAAATTGTTAGTTAGTTTAGACAAAATTGGGATTTGATAGGTTGACTTCTCTACTTTGCTTCCCTTATTGGCATCCGTAAAAATACCAAACAAACCAGTGAATAAAGAATTGGGCAATCGAACAAAATTTTGCTAATATTGGCAAGTTGACTTCACATTCACCTCAAACTAACAGAAAGTCAGTCTTGTATAACTGACAAGAGTGATTATTAACAATAAACCAGCATTTATGTTGTTAAAGAATTTATACTCAGATGTTTTTAAATTTCAGGTAGGTGGATGATTTGAAACACAAACAAGAATAAGATCTATATCATACTTTGGAACCATTTGACGTCTAAAACCACAAACCTCTAAGAGCCAACTATTTTATTTTAATTCTTGTGTATCAATAACATATTTTATGTTGCTACTAGCTGCATTTTACTAAAAATGAATGCAAACAGAATGTCTTCATTCAGAAATTTCCACGAAAAACTGGTAACTATGCTGAAATTTTTATTTTTATTTTTGCTTTTTTAAGAACCATTTTGCTGAAACTAATTCCCTTGCTAGTACATTGCACACTATTTTTAGAGATTGAGTTTTTAGAGTTAAAAATAAGTTTCTAAATACCGAATTGAACTTGCCTAAATTATTTGCCTAAAAACAATCACAGAGGCAACATACTCCGAGAACATGAGTTGAACCAATTCAATTTTTTTTTATTTTTTTTTTCGACAAAAAGAAAAAAAAAATACCTTTACACACACACATATAGAAAAAAGAATTGGTAACAAGTTCCACACCCACCACCTTCAAAAGCATGTTCATGTCTTGAATTATACTCCCTCTCCATTTTAGTAGAAAGAAGGCACAAGTGACAGACTAAGAAGAATAGTATTTTAATGCTGAAAGCTTACTGCTGAATTCTCTAGTTTGGTAATATATTTATGTTTTACTTCTTAGTTTCGGAAAATTAAAGTAAGAGCAATTGCTTGCTGTTATATATATCAGATCAACCAT